ATAAAAAGTAAGGTTAGATATGTCATATCATATGTAAATTTAAAAAAAAACGTATGGCGTGAATATATCGAAATAATTGAATTGTAATACAGTGCTATCTTTTGAAAACTTGGAGTACCTAAAGACCTAGATAACTTTGAAATAATAAATCCTTAAATTAGCAATAAAAAGTAAAAATAAAAGCGATAAAAACTATCCTATATACTATGTTGAAAAAAAAATCACACAAAATAAAAAAAAAATTCATTAGTAGTTTCTAAGTTCATTGGAAACCAACAATGTGACACTGAATTTTTATAAATAAAAAATAATGTGCACCTACTATTAATACTCGAAAAATTGTATTAAGTTATGTTGATTAACGGTTAGTAAGAAATCATCAATGAGAAGAGTTCATTTTATTCACCGTTATCTTTTATTACTCGTGTGAGATTTATAAATTATATGCATGGGTTTCTATATTTTTTTCCTTTTTCTGTTAGATCAACCATCCCGAGTTCGCAACACTTTTCTCTCTCTCATGCGCTCAAGTACGTTCTGAGATATCATTAAATTACCTAACGTCCGAGCAATTCCCACGGTTGGCGAGTGTGAAACGAGAACTGTGTGTAACAAGTGTGTATACACATAGCTGAGGTTAAACGAATTTTCAGTCTAAAAGCTAACCGTTATTGCTGCATCTCAACGTGAACCTCCACTGTTATAATTTGTTAAGTAGATTTTGTAAATGGGACATCTTATAGAAAAAAATGCAAACCTTCTCATAATTTCATTCAAATATTGACCGAATGAAGAAAAGGGTATCATTAACACTAGGATTACCATACCTGTCGAAATGGCTGGTTTTATACAATGGTTTTTTATCTTTCCTATTTTTCATTTTATTTTTCTTTCCTTTCCTATTACACGTATATATGGAGTTGAAAAACTATTGAACTAGTTTTAGTAGAAATAGGTTAGTTTATTTTTCTCGGTGGTTCTGATATTAATTATTAAATAATAAGAATTGTCATAGATTAAAAATAGAACTATAAACGTCTATCGACAGTTTCTCTCTGGATTTTCATCGAATGCCAAGTGACCTCAATACGAGAATCTAGGTTAGCGCAGTGTAAATTTAGCAAATGACATATCACAAATTGATGAAGGGAAAAGTAGTTTCGGGTAGAACCGTCGAAATGATTTATTCAATTGATCAGAGGATTAAGGTATCGGATTTTGAAGAACTATTTTCAGAATGACTTTATATTACATCTAACTAAGTGAACTAAGAAGAGATAAAGTCAACAAAGCTTGATACTGATGGCAAGCAAAGAGACAAGTAAGTCAATGAAGAAAGTTAGACATAGGGTTGAGTCCTGTAGTAAGTCCAGTTATCCGCTAGGGTACAGAGAGAAATACTCTTAGAAATACAGTGGAACACGTTAATCGTAAGCAAATGCGGGTGAGCTGCAAATGGTAAACCAAAAGCAACGACCGCAAACGTGACGGTTGGTTCTAGTCTCTCTCAGTCTTATGTTAGTTCTATTACTAACAACGTTT